CGATAAGGGTGCGAAACCACGGGGTTGATCACGGTCGTTAAACGCACCTTCTCAGCGTAACGATGTCATGGGAGGAGTGCCTCGGGCTCAGCCTAGGAGGCCTCGTCTTGATCGGCGATGGCGTCGACAGCATCCTGCGGTAATTGTGCGCGTGGCTGTAACCAGACCTCGTATCCCACTGGAGTAACCTTTGACCTCCTAAATCGCTGTTCGTTCTACGTACATGCTGGTGCCTCGACGACGTACGACTCTGAAGATCCGCCTGGAAAGTATTACACTCGTTAAACATGAACGGTTACTACATAAGATTCCTTAATAGTGAAAGCGAAGATGAGGCTCTTCTTGCCATGTGACGTTAAGCCAATTGTCCAGAAAATTGCTTGATCATCGAGCGGGTTAAGTGCCGTTCCCATTCTCGTTTACGATTAGATTTACACGTCCAATGGAGATTTGTTAATTTTGTACAAACACCAATATATTTTTGTATTCGAGTTAAGGTTTTCGATACACGGTATATATACACGTGGATATTGGTCATTTTACAAGTAATTTTAGTTCTGGTGCAGAGAGTTTTGTTTGTTTGTTAATAAAACATTTGTTATTACAAAATTTCTTAAATGAAAAAATCTTTGAAAATGAAAGATCGTATATAAATTGATGTCAGAATAGTATTTTAATCGAAAAGATGAAATATTTTTTTGCAAAATAGATTGAAAAATGAGATATATATATATATAGATTAAATGTATGCATGAAATGTAATTTTTTCATTGAAACTAGGTCTTCAAAACGAAATTACTTATGACGTGACCTAATAGATTAGTGCAGTTAGATATGTGGTGTTAGAAAAGAGGCGCCATGTTGCTTTCACGCTTGTCGAAACACATTACCATATTACATTGTTCACGTTCCTATATCTTCGTATATATGATTCACGTGTTTCTTATCAATATAATTATAGTATATTATTCACATTTCTATATCTTCGTTTCTTATATGATTCACATAAATTTTCAAATACTTTTTTATCAATTGCACGAAACTTAAGATTCACCGTAAATGGACGCAATAACCGATTCACATTATCTCGAAAATACGCCGTCGTTATACGCGAATCACGTAGGACAAAAACAAGAATGATGAAGAGCAAACAGTGATTCGACTTTCGTCCATATTTCCATAAATCGTGTTTGGTCGGTCGCTCGGTCAGATATCAACTAAACCAGGACTGTGCTTCCTCTCCTCGTATCCTGGTTAACGCGATATATTGTGCTGCTATGGTATCAGTCGGTTGTCGGTGATCTGCACGAAGCGTGGCTAAACCATAAACGTGAGTAATGCCAGTTATTGTGTCGAAGGAAACAGTCATACGTGTGGACTGATAATGATTACAAATGTGCAACACTCTCAATATAGCAATAATTATACATCATCGGGTGAAAATGAGAAGGAAGGGAGAGCGCCATGGTAAGACACAAAGGGAGAAAAATTGCGCATAAATAAAATAAAAAGCGACGTATGCAAACATCCAATGACAAATGTATCGCTTTGTACGTCCATCGAAAGCAGGAAAGCGTTTCTCTTCGAGATCCTCGTTTCTTACTATCCCATACAATTATTAGCCTTTTGAAAATTAATGATCCTCAGTTAAATGGAATTGTAATTGGGAGAGTGTCTTGTAATTTGAAAAATTGAATATCCAGAAAGATATTGCTGGTCGATCGAGATGAATTTTATACTATTACTATTGCTTTTTAAATCTTTTTTAAATTACGACTTTCTTTTGTAATATTCAAATATGTAATATTCAAATAAATAAATGCTGAAAGTCATTAAATAAAAATAGCAATGTTTGTGAATCGCAATCTACAGACTGAGAACCACATCTTTATTACTTCAAGTTTCGCTTCGATCGGCCATCGATGCTTTTCAGAACCATAGACAAAGGTTTAAATAGACATTCCAAAAGATCATCGATATACGAAAATGATTGAAAATACCTATTATTACTAAAAATACACGCTATACTTTACTGAGAACAAGTCTCGAGGCCCAAGGGATCCTCGTCCTCTCGTTTAACCATCACCCAATGCCAGATTTGATATGAGATTTTCGATCAATACATATTTCTATTTTTATTGCACTTTGACCTTAATCTGTAATAAAAATCGAACCCAAAATTCCTCTCGAATAACTTCTTCTCAGCAAAACTTAATTAAAATACAAAACACTCTCTCGTTGCGGTGTTCCCATTTATTCAACGATGTTTAAGCACAGATACGGTAACTTCTCGTGCGGTTGATGATTGGTTAATGATTAACGAAGATAGCATAGGGGACAAAGAATCGGGGGCAAAGAACGATAGTCTTTACCTTAAACTTGTCGATCAGTATCTGGTTGATGAGCTCGGACTGGGGTCGTGATTTGTCGGCGACTCGCCTGCGAAGGGCTGGCGGGCTGTCCGTCTCGTCTTGGACATCCGTGTCGTGGGACTCGGAGCTATCACCACCCCCCATCATTCCACCACCACCACCACCCCCAGTCAATGCTCCACCAGATACCATCTATATCGTTCATAATTTACTTCGTTACTCGTCCGATCTAAATTACACTTTCTTTAATTTTTTCTTTTTTTTTTTCTCGATACACAAAGTCCATCGACTGGCGTGACGCTTTGTAGGAAATTAATTTTCTAGGGAGAATTATAGTTGCATGAGATGATGTGAAGTATCGGTGTGAAGTATCTCTCGGACAAGAAAATGTTCAAGGAAATATATAGGTTATAGTTAATTTGGCTAATTTTAAAATTTTATCTTTATGATATATAAAATATGAATGCATTTTGTCTATTGTTAATTATTGTTCTGTTTCTTTACCTCGATTTGTATTCCACTATCTCCGCTGTTGCATTTCGCGTTTCTGGCAGCCTTGCTGCCTTTTTTCCTCTCTTTACTGCTTCTCCATACAAGAGGACCGAATCTGTAAAAAAAAAACGAGATTCGACATTTATTTTCTTTCATTTAAATTGCAAGTATAATTTCTCTTAATTTAAGCGAAAGAATATTAATTTTCAAAAGAAGATAAAATAGATGGTATGACATTAAACTAACCGGAATTTCTGGTCATTATTGGTGTCTTCTTTATGTTGAGGGGTCTGTTCAGTCACAGTAGGTGGTTCCCTTTCTTCCTCCTCGTCCAAAGGTCCGGATCCATCGTTATCTTCGGCCGGACATTCGCTCTCGTTGCTCTCCTTGCTGCCCTTTTTGTGAAACCTCAAGGAGAAACTTTTTCTAAATTTCTGCAGAACGCTTTCTTGCTGGCTCTGCGTGCTCGAACGAGGAGGATTCTGGGTTCCAGAAGCGGTCACGAGATTGCCACTTAAGTTAGAGGGCTGCTCTTGAAGTCGCGAATGGGAGACCAAAGGAATTGTCGCCTCTGCTAGAGGATGCTCCGTTGTTACGTGACCTGTTGTGCCCTCATCTTCTTCATCTCCCGACCACTGTCGACTGTTCGAAATAATATAATCGAATGTTATTTTGATATTCATTTTAGTGGACGAATATTTTTAAAATCATTATTTCGTTTTAATTAAGCTTGCCATAAGCTACGTATGATATTCCAATTCCTTTGTAAAATTTTATAACGTGGTAAAAATAATTTCTTTATAAAAAAATGTTAATGCGTAATTAGAAAATATTGAATTTATATAGAATATATAGAATTTATAATCTTTTGGTTGTAATTTTGTTTTCTTCGAAAAATTATATCCCAAAGAAGTAAGTTCAACTTTTATTCGATACATTTAAATTTTTATTTGACAGAATTTTCATTGTATACATTAATACAAAATTATTGTAATAATATTGTAGAGGGACTATATTTAATCAAATCGATTTTATAATTGAAATTTAACAAGGATCGCTTTTGTTATCAATCCTCTATATATCTTGACCTCGTAAAATCTTTTCTGAACTTCAGATTCGATCATCTCGTAACGAAAAGAAAAGCTCAGGCTGTTCAACCATAATTCTCGATCTTCTTACACACGTACACACGCACACGTAGTTAATGAGTACGATCGATCCGATTTATCAATGGCCCATTGTGATCGTAAATAGAAAATAATTTACGGATCGCAGGAAACTCTACACCGTTTCTTTCCTCTCGCGAGAGGTGCGTTATAAAATTGATAGATCACGAAACTGCTCACGGCAATTTATGCAGCTGAACACCGAACACGTCAGCTGACCAGGTGGCTGCACGAGGCTGCATAACGGAAACGAGGCATCCTCCGAGTGTCGCTTCTTTGAGAAGCGGAAACTTGCGGTTTCCGAAAATTTTGAAATTATTCAACTGACGTGTAATATTATTGTAAAAATTTTCTCGAAGCTTGATTATACGTATCACTTTCACATGAAATGTGATTTCTAGTATATTGATAATTCTCTAATATGATAATTCTTCAATAAAATCATCTACGATCGATATTTGTTTGAAGAACAATGTGTTGTTACTTGTTACGTTTGAGAAAAAAATTCTATGATAGACGCGATTTATATTCTTTTCTGATAGAATATGATTTGAAATGCGAAATGCAGAATGTGAAAGATTATAATCTTTTTAATTTGGAATTCAGGTGGTTGCATAATGGAGACGAGACGTCTTTTCCTGCGAGTGCCATCTCTTTGAGAAGTTTGTGGCTTTCGAAAAATTTCGAAATTATTCAACGACGAGTCACGACGAGTCGTTTAATATTTAATTACAGAATTTCTCGAAGCGTGATTGTATTCATTTTCATGTAGAATGTAATTCGTAGTCGATTTGAGATTTCTTTAAAAAAAAAAAACGTACGATCGATGTTTGTTTAAAGAGCAACGGGAAACGTATCGTTATTTCGTTTCGAAGTATGGAAAAATTCAGCGAGAATAGAAAATAATTTCACGTAGCCAGATGTAGAGCGCGAGAGATTATGATCTTTTCGATTTGAAATAATCAATATCGTTGATACGGTCTTAAGTGAAACTATTGATTGGGTGAAACGATATTCGTAAGAGTGATTTACTCGAAGGTGTTATTATTGAAGAGTTATTAATTTAAATCGCGATATAATCGAGCCAGATTCTCGAGTTTGTTTTTAAAATGTCTTTCTCTTAGCGTGGTAAGAAATAAATGGTTCCTGTTTGCAACGAGATCAATTGGTTCAAAGGAAACATAAATTTTGCAAGTTTTTTTTTTTTTAGTAATAAATGAGATAATTAAATATGCTTTATATTGCGCACACTTTTTTTTTTTGAGATAATGAAATTTCTGACTCATTACTTGTCCTTCATGAGTTAATTACACGTAAAAATATTTTGTCGTTTTTTTACGCTGACAATGCAAAAATGATAAATTAACGTCACAGTTACAGTAGTTAGAATCATTTTTTTTTTTTAAACAATATTTTTACGTTTTTACTCGATTTTCTCAGCCAAATTAATGAGAAAATATGGTGCAGAGTCACGACGTACCACATCATCGAGACAATTTTGATCGATTTTTTTCCTCTTCCAGATTATGTTTATCCGACGTGTTTCATTACTTCTTGCTCCAGTTACATTTTACGCTTCGTCCGCTTCTCGTTCTGTTACGAATTTACTTTTACAAACTTTTCACGACGAAGGAACGAACATTTTTCGCTTCACTCGAAAACATTTTAAACGTAAAATATTCCTTGCGAAACGATTAATTATTCCAGCGAAGATTTCGTTTTGAAGGATCGAGAAAAACTTGTCTCCGATTTAGCACTACCACGAAACAGAAATAAAAAGAATAAAAAGAGAGAAGAGAAAGGTTCTTTCATTCACAGTTCATTCCATTTATACGACGATCCGACATTAGATAATAAAATACTCGAGATTATTCGACGCACGAAGAACCACTTGCAACCACTTTTAGACAGGAAATGCGTCGAGTGATGGTCTACAGGCGACTGAAATCTTCGACCGGTATACACCAAACCACCACCATATGCGTGTGCACGTCCGTCGTGCCGCGTTCGTAGGCCTATACAATCCCTGGTATTAAAATATTCACGGAAATCGTCCTTCCTGTATACTAGAATTTTTATTTTACGATATTAGCCCACCGTTGCTTCCAACCAGGAACCGTCACTTGTTGATCAGTATAATCACGTGTGTGCACGCACACATGTTTCTTCGTGATCTTCTTCTTTTTTTGTTTCACAAAATTACAAAACAAACATTACACAATTTTCATAAATAATAATAAACGTTCGAAAAAAGGTAGAAAAAAATTCCATATACTCGAATCATTCAATTACGTTGAAAGAAAACGATCACGATTCTCACAATTCATTTCTTCTTCGATCGTTTCTCGATCAATCGAGTAGAAATCGTACGAGAGTTCAAAATTCTTCTTGAAAAACATCAATTCGAACGCGACACTGGTTCGAGGAATCACGAGAAATGCAAAAGGCCACTCCCGAAAACAAGAAAATCGGTCGAAACCACTCTGGCCCAGAAGGAAGCGCATTGAACGACGAGCCGCAGCCGACTGAAGGCTCCGACAGCCACACAAATCCAGTCTCACGTGTGTCCCACGTGCACTCGTGTGTGTACACGTGCAAGATGTGCTTGTGTGCCCGTGTGCACCTCGTGAACTCTTCCGAGAACAGATTTCGAGGGTCGCTTCAGGTATAAACCGGCATGAGGGGTTGCTCGTTCTCCCACCTTTTGCACGCTGCCTTTTTTTTCTCCCTCTCGTCTTCTCCTTTCGCTTCGTGCCACCCTCATTCCCTCTGTCCTCTTCTCTCGATTACGGAGGGCAGGTTGTGGGCGGATAAGAAAAAGAGAGAGAGAGAGAGAGAGAGAGAAAAAGAGAAGAGCGGCCTAAGAAGAGCCGTCGGTCTCCACAAAAGGTACCATTTATCCATTGTAGTGACAGTGGTCCATTCTCGTTCTCCTTTTAATCGGAGGAATTTTTCTCTACTCTCTTTCCCATCGTGGACGCACACACCACCTCCTACAAATTTGACACGGTGCACAAATCGACTCTTTGAGGATCTGTTAATCTCCGTTGTCGTTCTGTGTCTTCTGTACGCTTTTTTCTTTTTTTTTCCCTTCTATCTTCTTTTTCAACCCTTTCAACGCTCATGACTCCACGAAACCGGTAGTATACCGCAATCTTCCTGTGTTTCCGGAATTTCAAAGAAATCGTGTCGATCCGCGATGGATCTGTTTTTCGCTCTTTGCGAGTTTAAAAGAGTTCCAAAAGATAGTTTTCTCTCTTTCTCTTTCTCTCTTTTTCTTTTTCTTGATTGCAAATATCGTTGAAATCGTGATATATAACTATTATATATAAATAATAAATTATATAACAAATGAAATAAGATAATTATTGAGTTGAGAAGGTGGTTATAGATTATAAAATTTTTTCTTGTTTTTTAAATTGTTTTTTAAAATTCGTTCATCATTGAAATAATGAAATGATAAAAAGGAAAATGGAAGAATGAAAATATAGAAATAATAGAAGTATATCTCGAATTATTTTACTCTTTTCATTTATTAAAAAATACTTTCCATTTATCTCTCGTAATATTATTCCAATTGTGCAAGATATGCATTAACATTTTCGAAGAAGGTTCCATGAATATTTGTAAAAATATCGTTAAAGGTTGAAAACGAGGAGTCACGTCCCCGGTATTATTACTTTTCACGATGTTCCTACCGGTTTGTCGGCAATCTCTTCTGTCATTTCTTCCATTTTGTTACTTTTATGTAGCTAGACACGTGGCACGAACACACGATAACTCTTCTTTTTATCGGTCTACGTTCAAATCTAGTACACGTGGGTGGCACGTACTCAACTTTTGTGAATGCTACGTAGGAGTTTCGATCTCTTCTGGCACTGGTTTCACCAGAAAACCGATCATTAATTCATCGATCATGCTATAAGTTTCTCCTCGATCCTTTTGACTTTTCCAAAATAATTTAACTCTATCTAAATTGTAACATATTGCTTGTTCTTTTTTTTAGAATAAATTTTTTAATGGTTTGTTATAAAATTATCATATAATTGAAAATTGATATGAAAATTTGTTTGTATCCTTTTTTTTTAAAGGAATTGCAAAAGTCAAGAGAAACGTTAATACAGAAAAAATGTGTTGTCTTTTTATATGATTAATAGAGAGAAAAAAGTTTTCCATGTTCGTGAAAGATGAGAGTAAGTTTCTTTTGTTAATGGACAGCAAAGCCACGGAATAAAGTCAAAGAATATTAAGATGTAATATTCTTTCTTAAACGATCTTAAAAGATATCACAGGTATTCTTCCTCGTGTTCCCGTTGAATATTACGAATTTAAAATGCAAATTTAAATAATTCTTAAATAAAAGTATCTTTAGAAACGCATATAAATTTGAATTTTTTAAATTAAAATTCCTATTTAAATATTTAGTTTGGAAATGAAATTTAAACTAAAAAATATAAATTCTACTTTCTGGTAAAATCAAATCTGAAAAAATCAAACTCGAAAATATTGACTTTTACAATTAAAGAACGAAATTTAGTCCAAAGTTAAAGGAAAAAAAAATTTAATCAAATCTCGCCACGAAATGATGTTTCTTCTCTTTCGGATTTATCCCATTATCTCTTGGAATCTAGAATTTTAAATACAAAACGAGTGAATACAAACGAATGCGACTGAAGTTCAGTTCGTGGTGTTAAACGGAGCGCAAGTGGAAGCGAAGTGACTTGGCCAAGTCATGAATGGAGAACTTACCGTTCTCCAAAACTTCAAATTAGAATAATACCCAACTGCGACTCATTGTTGGGAGGGGGGATTCCAAGTTGTGAGAACTTTCGAAGCGAAGAAAATTAACGTTCCACTAAATTGTTATCGCTTCGATAAAACTATGACCCTTTTCCACCATTCAAGACTTTCTAATTGAACTAATAGCAAAGGAATATTTTAGAAAATATTTTTCTTACAAATTTTAACGGACGGAAAGAAAATTAACACGATGTTATTAGTTTCTAAGTAAAATACTTGTCCAAAAATTTGCATTAGATAATTTAAGTATTATTATCAATTATTCCAATTATCAAATTCAATTGAATCACTATTATTTCGTATATCGATTTAATTTCGAAGATTAGTAATAAAGAATTATTTAAATAAAAAATGAAACGATATCGAATATTTATATTTCGTATAAGAATAAAAAGAATCTTTGAAAGAAAATTCAAAAAAAAAAAAAAAAAAAAAA